GGGTAAATCTTAATTAATTTATTTGTATTTAATTTATAACACAATCGTAATATTATTTTCCCATGCATCGCAGGGACCACACATTAATTTACATTTATGCAAATGAACATGTGAAATAGTAATTCTAATGAAATTGTCGTGAGAATACTATCAATGTTAATTTCTTGGTGAATTGCGTTCATAGAGAGTGGCATCCGTGTATTTAACTGGTCAATCAAAGAAAGGTAAGTCAAGTCGTCATAATTTGAATGAAGAAAATAAATGATATAGTTAGTTAAATCGAAAAAAAAAAAACAGTGTCATACTTTTCAATTTCATAACAAAAATGAATTAATTACTTGGTTTATGATTTTTATTTAAAGAATACTTTCTCCTTTTCAAAATAAGTGTCGTTTTGACTTTTTTGATTCATCCATTTTGCTATGTATTTAGACATAAATTATGTTTAGATACATAGCAAAATGGATGAATCGAAAAAGTCAAAACGACACTTATTTTAAAAAGGAGGTAGTATAAATTATGTATCCCTTCCCTTATATTAAGGGAGAGTTTTAGAGTTATGTATCAACTTTGGTACTTTGTATTTGTGTGTTAATTTGGTATTCCGTAATTTTATGCATTGAATTTGGTGCTTTGTAATTATGAGTGTCAATTTCTTGTGTAACTTCGGACTGCTCCATGTAGATCTTAACTTGTAACTTTTAAAATTATTTAAATAACATAAATTATGCATACAAATTTTTAAAGTTTAAATAGTTTTTTTTTTATTTGTATCAGTTTTCATAGATGGTATATCAAATTAATTATCTTTTAATTGAGTTGATTTGACATTTATATTTTATCGGTTTTGCTATTAAGCCAACAGTTGGTTCCATAGTAGAGTCAACCTTCTATAAACAACAAATAAAACTACCATACTAATAATTATATTAATGTTATTTAAATAATCATACAATATGGTAGGTTTACTTGTTGTATATAAAAAGTTGGCTCAACTATGGAGCCAACCGTTGGTTCCATAGCAAAACCGCATATTTTATATAAGTAAAAGTTATATTTATCTTTATAATAAAAATTAATTTTTTAATATTAATAAAAAAAATTATGTATTAATTTAATAATTGTATATAAAAAATTATTATAGAATACGCATTAAAATATTACTAAATATAAGTCAGTTAAGTTGTACAAGTGACATATTTAAATATAAACACAATGCAAATATTAAATAAAATGTTGAAAAATAAAAAAAAAAATAAATTATGTCCCCTTTTTTTTATAAACTTAGGTGTAATTTTTTAAGAGTAAATCATAATTTTAGTCTTGCATGTTTCACTACTTTAATATTTTCGTCCTCTTCGAATTGTGTTTTTTTTTTTTTTTTT